GGCAAACAAGAAGAGAAAGGATGCCGCTTCTATCCATGTAGAGACTCCTCCCACAAGAGGAAGAGCTACAAGGAGTCAGAAGAGGCAGAGTGAGGCTGAACTAGAAAAGGCCTTAGAAGAAAGTAAGAGAAAAGTCGCTGCTAAAGGAAAGAAAAAGGTGGTTGAGACTGTTAAAGGCAGTTGCAATTGATGAGATGGATCTGGTCCTTCGGGATGAAGAGGGGACAGAAGATGTGGAGGTTGTAACTCCAAAATCTAAGAAAGTCAAGACTTCCACAAAGAAGTTTGTTTCAAAAACAAAGTCTGATGAGCCATATACTTTGGCTAAAAGAATCAGGTCTGCATTGAAATCAAGAAAAGTGGAAATTGTGGAGGAAGAAGAATGGAGTGGAGAAGAAGAAGAAGAATCTTGATTTTGAGAAGGACAAGATGGTTAAGTTTGGGAAGAGAACCATCTTGAAAGGTAGACTCCTCAAAGATTTGGAGGAGGAAGGAATGTTACTGCTGCTGGAGAAGTTACAGTTGCAAGGTTGGAAGGACATGGTCCTTCAGATGGATGAAAGGCTGGCCAGAACTGAGATTATGGAGTTCATGGCAAACTATGAGATTAAAGATGGTAGGGTCACCGGTGTGGTCAAGGGGGTGACGGTGACTTTTGATGATAAAGAACACTTCCACCAAGGAAGAGTATAGCATTGGAATTCTAGTTATTTCCTATTCTAATAACTCTATAAATTACATGATGTTCTTACTTTACAGGTACGCACCAACGCTGAAGTTAAATGTGAGTTGAAAGAAAAATAGCAAGGCATTTTGCAAGCAATTCTTGTGTGATTCAAGTGTGCGAACCTGAAGCTACATGAACAAGATAGAAGAACCAGTTCCAAGTGTCTATCTTTTATTCTAGTTCAATTGTAGTAGGTTTTTCAAATTGTACCTTTCAGCTTTATCTAGAAGCAATTGTATTAGGTACTCTGAGTATTCAAGTTAGAGTTAACTTGAAGTTGTCGCAACAGTTAGAGGCTGGTTGCTACAACGGGATTAGAGGTAATCCTTAGGTTTACAAAGAGTTTTGTTAAATGTTGTTTTGGCTCAGTAATTTAGTGAAGTATTGGAAAAATCCTACTGAGTAGTAGGTCGTGATTTTTTCACTCTTTGAGCCGGGTGTTTTCCACGTAAAAATACTTGTGTTCTTTACTTTCCGCATTCATTATTTCCACAATAGTAGGTTAAGGAACACAGAAGAACCAGGTCCTTCTATAATCTGTGCACGCGAAAATTGGACACCACACAAATCATCCCCCTCTTGTGTGGCATTGAAGTATAAAACATCAAATAGATATGAGAGCAGTACTCCCCAACTCAGTTATGTTTCAAACTAAGATAATCAATAGGCGGTGCTGCGTTCTGAGGAGAAAAGAATGACCATCGGCTAGTATTGATATTATTTTATAAATTGACTAATAATAATAGCATTTTTCCCGTGAAAGATCAAATTAAGTGTATTGGTGGAAAAGTAAACTCGCCACGTAGATTCGTGATATGCTGACATGTGGCATACGAGTCAATACGATAAATTAAAGAAGAGTGAAGATTAGAGAAAGCATGAGTAAGACACCCACAAGATCGTTCACAAAGATACCATACTTGATATTTGGAAAAGAGGAAATAGGTGCGGGGTGGATAATTAAAGACCACGAGGAAGAAATGTTCATAAATAGTCGCGAATATGGAAAGAAATCGGCATAATCCCTGATTATGCGCGAATGGCTGTTATTACCATAACCGTTACAAATTATCCATGGGTAATCAATGTAATAAATATTAGTAGCAGGCAAAAATTAGTAGGGCAAGACAATTACATATTATAACCTTATATAAACCCTTACCTTATCTTGTACTCTCATCGAGAAATTCCCAAAATTATACTATCAATCGCTTATATTTTCTCTGCTACCTAAAGATGTTATTCTTTCGTTTTGGAAGGAAGCTGAGATTACTTTTCTCTTATTCTATCAATATTTTATTTTCATTATTTGCAATTCATCTATATTAAAAAAAGTGAAGTAAAATTGGTTATTAAGAATTTGAATTATTGTTTTTAGTTGATTTGACCACAAAAATTATATATATATATATATATATATATATATATATATATATATATATATATATATATATATATATATATATATATATATATATATATATTGTATATTTTCTTTGGGGTTTTCTTTGAGTAAGAATTCCTTCAAAGTATTCTAAATTTGGGCCCTCTTAATTTTATTGGTTGATTTCGCACAAATAGAGAGATGAGATTTTTATAATGTATCAACGTGGTTATGGGATAGTGTTATAGTGGTCATTAATAATTAACAAAATGGAAAAAATTAAGGGCTAATTTCTTCCTCCTTTCATCTCGTACTATAGCTTAGTCGCTTCCCCCATCTCCCTTAAGTCCTCTATTTTTCTGGTGTTACATTCTCGCCGGAGAACCATGGTCAACCTAACCCATCGGAACACTGCCATCCGACCTCCTTTTTTTTATTTTTTTCTCTCCTTTGTACTATGTGTTCTCTCAGCTACTATGAAAATTCCTCAATTTAGTACCTCAAATTCCTCAATCCAGATCGGCCTCGTCATTACCTTTGCCGTTTCTGTCATCTCTGGATGGAATCCATGGTCAACCAGCCAAATTTCTCAGATCCAAATGTATTTTCTCATATCTGGGTGTATTTCTCAAATTTGAGTATATTTTATTTCTTGTGACGAATTAAATACAACGAAATACACATTATGGCAGGATTTTTATTCGTGTGACTGGATTTTGGTAGATACAATATGATAGTGTGATCTGGCCATATTTTTATTCGTCTCCATTTTTTCGTTTTAATACAATATATACAGTATTTTGCTTGGCCGGAATATGTATCTACGATGAACTTTCTTCTTTTTTATGCTATTTAATCACATACAATGACACAAATACATTATATTCTGTACAAATATACTCAAATTTGAGTGTATTCTATATTTCTCAATGCAAATACAAATTTCTTTTTGTATTTTCGCATGTATTTATGTATTTCGAAGGTTAATGCTTATGACAAATTCCTGTACTTTTTGAATTTTTATTGTTTGAATATGGTCAAACTAAATATAGTAAATTGAATACAATATGAAAACAACTACAAATTAATACAATAAATTGAATGCAGCCGAATATCACTGTTTTCGTTGTTTGAATACAGACAAATTAAATAAAGTGAAATTCAATACAATATAAAATAATTAAGAATAAATATAGCCGAATTGAATACAATGTATAAAACCGAATTCAATAGAGCAGTATATACCCCGTTTCTTGATTTTTTACTATTTGAATACAATTCAATTCACTACATTGAAATTGAATACAATATAAAATATATAAGAACGAATAATTCCAAATTGAATACAATATATACAACCGAATTGAATTCAACGACATACATCACATAACGAGCAATTAGTAGCTACAAAATGTAATTAGGTAAATTTTAGCTATGCCCAAGCCCAACAATAAGCCTACAAACAATAGTCATATATGAAAGTCTCCAACTAAATTGTAGGATCCAAGCCCAAAAAAATCGGAAAAGGTCCATCTGGCCCAAATAGTCCTAAAATTGCATCTGAAAGAAGGCGAAATACATATACAGTCCCTCAAGTTGTCCACAACGGTCAGTTGAACACCTCAACTGAGACTATTTCCAGTTAAACACTTCAAGTACTTATAAAGTATATCAAGTAAACACTTTGCACTGACATGGCAAATCAATTGTGTCTCACTACAAATTGAGCGCGTGAGGACATGAATTGTGTTCTTTTCTTTTTCTTTTCAGTTTAAAAAATAACCTTTGTTTTTGTGGACCCACATACCTTCATCTTTACTTCCCCTTCTTCTACCAGCTTCTGAACTAAACTCCTCGGCAGCTTCATCTTCAACTGAATCGGTCCATTATTCGGCTTCGAAATCGACAAATCAGAAGCCGATCTTTGTGTTAACATGAGACACTCGAGCCGATCCTTTGCACTCATCTGAACAGGAGATTTCACTCTTCTTGGAACTCTACTAATTTCTTCTTTAGGAAACAAATGCAATTCAACAAGGAAATATATTTTGTTTGGCTTCAGTTCTTGTTCTGGTTTCAGTGGCTTAGCTCTGACACCAAACTTCTTCACTGCTTCTGATTCCAGTAAAACATGACCTGGGTAGTCTTTTACTACGTCCAACGTTGTTACTGGTGTTTTCAGTTTCAAGATTTCGCCATTAATCTTCATCACTTCAAGGTTCAATATAAATTTTTCTTTGCCCAATTTTTTCAGATGAAATGGTGGTCATGGGTTCAACGAGTAAAGGGAAGGGTTTGCGAAAGCTTGGAAGAAGAGTTAGGGGAAGGAGGAACACTAGTTTAGGAGAAAAGTTTTTTTCTTTTTAAATATTTTTTTATGTTAATAAATGTGTCAAATTCTTATGGCAAAATTACACATGTCATTTTTTGATTGGTTCATTTGCCATGTCATCCGCAAGTGCAACTCACGCATATGGCCTGCTGTACTCAGGTGTTTACTTGACCTACTTTATAAGTACTTGAAGTGTTTAACTGGAAATAGTCTCAGTTGAGGTGTTCAACTGAGCATTGTGGACAACTTGAAAGGGCCGTTTCGCTTTCAAAGGAGTGCAAGGTCACAAATCCTGACCCTCCTCTAGACTTAATCCGGATCGTCAAATGTTTAATCTAACCGGTCGAAATCACTTCAGCTCATCGAAAGCACAATCCGCACCTAATACGCAAAGCTGCATTCGATACCGTAGATCATCTTCCAATCAACGACTCAGTTTCAGTTTCCGCCTTTCACACGGATCACCATTATTATCCGTCGATTAACAACCAAATCCCCCCAAAATTTAGCGGCTACGATTTTAGCCCCGCCACAATTTCAAACCCCCGACGAATTCATTACGCCCAAATCCACCAAACATAAATACCCACCATCCTTCACTTCTAAGCTCGCCGAATACATTTCATTTCTGATTTCAATTCAAATCCAAAACCCTAGAAGTTTCTTTTATCTTCAAATTTCTGTGTGAAAATGTCTGGTCGTGGAAAGGGAGGCAAGGGATTGGGCAAAGGAGGAGCTAAGAGGCACAGGAAGGTGCTAAGGGATAACATCCAGGGAATTACGAAGCCAGCAATTCGTCGGTTAGCTCGTAGGGGAGGTGTGAAGCGTATATCTGGTCTGATCTACGAAGAGACACGTGGCGTGTTGAAGATCTTTCTAGAGAACGTGATTCGTGATGCTGTTACCTACACCGAGCACGCCAGGAGAAAGACTGTGACTGCTATGGATGTTGTATATGCACTCAAGAGGCAGGGTAGGACTCTCTACGGTTTTGGTGGTTAAGGAATTTGTGTTTGGATTTTTGACTTTTGTTCGCTCTGCAAAAGTCTTGCGGTCAAGAAATTAAATGAAGCATTATTAAAATAGTTGGTGTAATTAGGTTCCTTTATTAGTATTTGTAGTAGTTGTTTTTGTAAGAAAAGCATTTCTCAGAAATTCTGGAAGATGCTGAAATTAAAATGTATTTGACAGAAGGATTCAAGTTTTAACTATCTCTTTCTTTAGTCTTACCTTTTTCTGTGGATTCAATATTGATGATTCTCAAACATATACTAGTTGCTCATATAACAAAGATATGTACATCTGAAACCCCGACTAGTTGAATTAATTATGCGAATTATTTACTTTGTTCGATCAATATAGAACTGTATGTTCCAATATGTGTAATAAGTCCAGATTCTATACTCCATTGTGCTTCAGTTTGTTCAGAAATTAAACAAATGTTGCCTGCAAAGCTCTTTTGTTACCAAAATACTCATTCCTAATGTGAAGATCTTATTTTCTTTTAACACCATTTAAAGACCACCTATGAGCCTAAGATAGGAAGACCAAATAATATTCACATTAGGCATCATCAAATTTCCAAGACAGAGATGAATACAAAGACCTTATGAGGGGCAGAAACTCTTGCAGGACAAGTAGAGGTGACAACAAAAAGACTTGATCCTATTGCAACGAATAAATTGTTTGATTTGTTATAATGTCAGGTATGTATAAGTATTTCTTTTGAGTCACCATGCCTTAAATATTCTGTTGTTAAGCTGATGAAAAGAAGAAAGCAACTGTTATTACGAAGCATAGAGAGAGAATTGAGAGCTCATTTCACTTTCATTTATATCGAAGAAAAATCAACTGAATAGAGAGAAATGAAAAAGTCAGTTATATATAGTAACCTAACTAACTTTCTAACTATTGTTAACTAACTACAAATCTAACAACTTGGGTTAAGTTAAAATAACAGTACAACTACCATCTCTAATGGTACTCTATTTCTTGCACCAAATCCAAATTTGGTGCAATAAATGGTGTTTTTTTGCTCCAATGCAGCACTATTTCTTGCACTATTATAGAGCATTGGTGCAACACTATTCATCACTCTATATTTGGTTTGTTAATATTTTATTCAATCTTTTCATTTTTGTAATTTTAATTTCTCATATATTGGGTATATAATTAATTTTTATATTAAGATCTTTATAATTTTAATTTTATATCCTATTTTTTGATATATTAATTTTTGTATATATTATATTTATATAAAATTATAAGTTAATTTTATTATTATTATTATAATTGTATAAAAAGAAATATAACCATTATTTAAAAATAAAAAATACAAATGTAAGATATCTAATGTTGCTAAAATTGAAAAGTATAAACTAAAATTTAAAAAAGAAAAACAATACATAAAATAAAAATACATTATAATTAAAGTACATAAAAGGAGGATACATTAAAAACATAAAACATAAGTTTAGTAATCCCCTATGTCATTTTCAGGTGCACCAAATTTACCAAAATACTGAGAGAACGGGGTAGAAGATTGTTGTGGTTGTGATTGTTGAAATTGTTGACTTCTTTTATCGATTATTCGTTTTTGTTATTGTCGCAAAAATTCACGAAGATTTTGATCGTCAATGGAATTCAAGTTCGCCAATAAAATTAAATTTGACTATGATGTAATATTTATTAATTATATTTTATCAATAATTTCACTTTTATTTAATTTATCCTTTAAAATAATTTTGTAATAAATGATTATATAAGTGGTGAATGTGAATTATATATAATGAATATGGAAAAAAGAAAAAAGATAGTATTAGTTTGTAGGAAAAAAAAAATGAAAAGTAAATAGAAGATAATAATATAATATAGAAGAGAGAGAAGATTTGGTGTAAAAAATGGTGTAATGGTTGGAGTAAATTTGGTGTTATACCATTTTGGTGTGAAATTTGGTGCAAAAAATGGTGCTAGCATTGGAGATGCCCTAAGGCACCTTAGTGCAAGTGTCTAATACTTCTACACCCCCCCTCGAGCTAGGAGAAATGAAGATGTTCTTCATCCCTAGCTTGGACACCAAATAGTGATGTTGAAGTCTGCTAAGACCCTTGGTTAGAAGAACAGCTTGCTGCTCAGAAGAAGCTAAGTAGATAGTTTTCACGAGATCTTGAAGAATCTTCTCACGAATGAAGTGGCAATCGATATTGATATGTTTGGTACGTTCATGGAAGACAGGGTTAGCAGCAATTTGTATGGCTGATTTACTATCACAATACAAAGGTACTGGCAAGGAGAGTGGAGCATTGAGTTCTTTGAACATGCCAGCAAGCCACACAATCTCAGCATAACGGTGGCATGTGGGCCGGTCCAAGCCCGGGACCGCGGACTATGTGGGTTTCTCGGCCTAAACGATCCTTAACCGGATAAGCCCGAGACCGTGGAGGTGGGCCGGTCTTCTAGGCCGGTCCTTCACAAAAAGACCGCAAGACCAGGACCATTTGAGATCGGGACCGGTCCTTGGCGGGCCTAAATGGTTCCAAGCAGTCCCAACGGTCAGAAATTTAAATTTTTTTTTGTTGCCCGTTTGGGCATTTAAAAACTAGCCGTTTGGTCTGCCAAAATGGCTGTTGGCTATTTGCAAAATAGCCATTTACTCCCCCCCCCCTCCCCAACTTTGTTTTAACCCCAAACTTTTTATAATTACTCATTTCCCTATTTTCAACTATAAATACCCCCTCATTCTTTCATTTTTCTCACAAAATCATCAATCTCTCTCAATCTCTCTCTAATTTCCTTCTATAATTGCTACTATTGCTTACTTTATTGTTACAATTTGTAAAGTTGGTGAATTGAAATCTTCAAGCTTCAACAATAATCAATTTTCAACAAGTTGTTCGTCAATTCGGTAAACTCGTTATAGTTTTGTTTGTTTTATTTATTTTCTATTATTTAATTAATTACGATGGCTTCCTTAAAAAAATCTTTTTGGTAAAAATAAGGGAAAATCCAAGAGTGACGAATCTAGTGGCCAATCTGTTCCTCCTCCACTACCCCCGGCTCCCCTATCTAAACCCCATATCCGTCCTACACCTGCAATTCTTGATAGCGATGATAGTTTATTACAATTTACTGAGAGTCAATTTTGCCATAATGTTGGGGCTGGTGAACAATTACACCATGAATTAATGAATGCTCTTTATTCTAACCCAACTATTGATGAAAATGATGATGAGGAAATAGATTTTGATGGAATGCAACCGAATGACGATACACCCTGTAGTCCTGCTCTTGAAGTACCAACTAGTGATAATCCAAATGATGCCCCGTTTGATACCCTTGCTACTGCCCCTACTTTTTTAGACAACGTACGAAACGAACAGAAATATCTATTGTTTGGCCATTTTTTAATCAACTAATTTCACAAAATAAGACTAAGTGTAAAACTTGTGGCAAGGAGTTAACTTTTAAATATGTTGGAGGTCGGAGGGCGGGGGGGATTTGGTGGCCCGGGAACTTTGGCTAGCCACAGTTACAGATATTTGTAGATATTTTTGCATTAGTGATAACATAATGTCAGTTTCAATGGATAATGCTACTAGTAACACAAATGGTGTAGCCTTGCTTACTACTACACTAAGTCTTGAATTTAGTAACATTTTTCATGTTAGATGTATTTGTCATATTTACCATTTAATTGTGGGTGATTGATGGGTTTTCAATACGTTTGTCTTATGTTTTGATGATTTAACAAACTTACTGTCAAGAACCAGACAAGGAACCTGACACATTTGGTGCACTGAACGGATTCCAGCCTGGACTCCAGCTAATGTAAACTGCTGCAAGTGTAGAAAATAGAGAAATAAGTCAAGGACCTGATTCCTTGTGTGTTCCTGACAGTAGTACGAAAGTCAACTGTTCACAGCTGGAAAGTAACTGCCTCAGAAACAGTGCACACAGTGTAGCAATTCTGCAGTCACTTGCTTTTGACCTACCAAGTGCTTACATCATTCAGGTGATGTCATCAAGGGTGTATCAACAAGAGCATTATAACAAAAACATCACTTGAACACTTTGGAATTCACTTCAAGCATTCAAGTCTTCTACAAACAGTGAACTTATCTCTCAAGAGCTTGAAGAACAAAGTAAAACGCTACTACGGACCAGTTCCTAAATCGAGTATTTTGTTGTCCTTAGTTGAGTTGTAACTTTGTGATTGTTCTTATAGTAATTCCTAAATTGCTTAGCTAGAAGCGTTGCTTAGGAACTCCTTTGTAAAACCATAAACTTTCTGAGTTTGTGTTGTGATTAGAGTTAGTCATAAGTTAAGGTCTTTGTAACTAGTGAGTGACAAAGTGGCTTGTGGTAAGTGTATCACAAGTTAGTTGAGTTGAAGTCTTTGTAACTAGTGAGTGACAAAATAGCTTGTGGTATCACAAGTTAGTTGAGTTGAAGTCTTTGTAATAGAGTCATTACAAAGTGGCTAGTAATTGAGTGTTTACAAGTTAGTGAAGTTGAAAGCCTACGAGTGTAGGTCGTGGTTTTTGTCCCCTTGTGCCACGTAAAAATCCCGTGTCTCATTCTCTTACTGTTTTTTTAGTATTCTTAGTAAAAACTCATAGAGGACCAGGTACTCTATAGTTTGGTGGACTCATATAAACTAACAGTGATGGTATGAGAATGTTAAAAATATTGAAATTGAAAATATTAAAATGGCTCTTAACTGGCCTTTTTTATTCAAACCGTAGAAGTAGACTTAGAGAATATTTTAAAAGATGCGATAAATTTGGTCTAAGAGAAAGAAAGGTTCCGAAAGCTTGTCCAACTAGATGGAATTACATGTATGAAAGTTTAGTTGTTGCATATGAATATAAAAATTCCATAATTTCAACGTTTAATACTCATGTAAGTGATGATGATGAGCACCTTACAAATGCGGATTGGGCTAATGTTAAAATGCTTGTAAATTTTTTAGAAAAATTTCATATTGCTACAAATGAATTTTCTGGGCAATATTATCCTACTATTTCTAACTGCTTAGTTTATATTGCAGAACTTGCAAATTTATTTGCTCATTTTTCAGAGGGTGAGGAAATTTATGAACTTACTATTGATTCTATGAGAAAAAAGTTTAAAAATATTTTTTCCCTATTCCCCCTATTTATGGTGTTGCTGCCTTGTTAAATCCTACTATAAAATTAGGAGGTCCTCAATTTTGGTATGAAACTGTTTA